AATCACCCGGTATGTATGCTGCTCGTACATTAAATTTCAATCATTTTTTCAGTTATTTGAAATAGTTCTCTTTTTTAAAAAACTTATACTAGTATTTAAATTTAAGTATTAATGTAATATAATAGTTATTATTGCTTTTATGTACATTTTTATCATGGCATAGATTATCATTAAAGAGTATTGAACTAAATTTTTTTTTATTAAAATGTATGCTTTTAAAAAAAATTAAGCTTTTGTCGCGTAAGGCACACATTAAACTGATGTAAGCAATATGTTAAAATGTATTTGTAGTTTTGAGTTTCAAATGGATTATATTAAATGTAAAATTTGTTTAGATTATGAATAATACTCAAGATGATACTCCTGGTCGAGAATTAGTAAACAACATAGTGGAAACTCAAGATACCTTAGATCAAAAAATTGACCGTAGTGAGGTTCAAATTTTTTCTAACACTGAACCAATTGTTTCAACTGATTTCGTAGAAAAGTATGTTAATTCACAGAATAAATAAATATTATTATTTATTAATAAATATATTAAACTTAACACATTATAAATATGAATAAAATAAATACCTTTTTGTTTTTTAGTAATGATAATGATAATGATATGGAAGAAGCATTGTCTGTAACAAATGTAACAGATCCAAATGATGGTCGAAATCGACGTAAAGTCAAATTTCGTTCTGATGATATGAAATTTTCAGATCTTGATGAATCTGATACTGAAGACGACGACGATGATGATATTGATAACAATTCTGATATTGAAGATAGTAATCCTGTAAGTGAAGAAAATAATGATTCTGATTCAGAATGGACAGACTCTGAAGATGAAACTGAAAACAAAAAAGTTAAAGCTGACAATTCGCGTTTTTATGGACAATCATTTGGAAAAGAAAATGAAATCAGAAAAAAAATTGCCAATGAATTGGCAAAATTAGACAAAATCAACCAAGAATCAAATATTAAACCCTGGAATGAACAAGAACAAGATTATTCTGATGATAATATTGAATATGATGAAGATTCTGAAACTGAAGATAATAGTGATGATATCACTAGTGATGACGATAGTGATAAAGAAGGCAATATTACAGCTGAAGAAAGTGATGAAAATGAGGTAGATAATGAAGATTCAAAGGTCAGTTTAGTAGACAAATCATCTAAAAACAACTTTCAAGAAACAGAAGGAGATTCATCGTTAAATTGGAAAAAAAATTTATCACAAAAAGCAGCTAATGCATATTATGAACGACAAAATTCGGTTGCTAATCTATGGAAATTAGTTTATGGTAATTTATTTTTATTATACTCTATTCAAAATAAGAACGGTATTTGGTGGCTTACTAGTGCGCAGAATCATATCTTCGTTCTAAAACACTAGTCTTGAGTGTCAACTTAGGATGGAATACATCTCACTATTGCAAATGAAAACTTGTTGCTGCTGTCTGCTGACTACCAGTCTTGTTTTCAATAGATAATTTGATATTGGTCTAAATTAGTAAAAACTAAAAAATAGATGTTAAAAATTCTCAATTTTCAAACTCATTATTTTAAAAATTGAAATCATTTATATTTAACAATATATAAAAATGAATAATTTTAATGTGCTTATCATTAAGAGTATGTCTCATGCACAACACCAAATTTTATATTTGCAATACTGATTTTAGTCATAATAATTTCTAAAATTTAAGTGAATATGCTATTAAATGTACGAACAGTTTAAAATTTAAGATTACTCAAAACATGCTTTAAAATTAAAATTAAAATATAATAAATAACTTATGGGATGTCCTAGATAATATTCTTACCATTAAATTCTATTAGAGGCCTTTTCACTCTAATTAAAAAATTATTATCATTATTTTGAATGTAAAATTTGTCATGTTACATGCGGGCCACTGAGGGGGAAAAAAATGTTCTGACATCCTCTTAATTTAACATTTTTGTCTTATAATACAAATGATAAATATTATTGAAACATAAATTTATCTTGCATTTAAAATTGTTCGAACTGAATTGTGGTAAATCCATTCTAAAATTAAAAATTATCTGATTAAATATTTTTAATAGGTGATGAAGTTAATGAACAAAAAAATGATGATAAGCTTAATGATGATGAAGATGAATTAGGTGGTCTCTTTCGAATGTCTTCTATGAAGAATATTAAAAAACAAAAGGAAAAAGAAGACATGAATATAGAGGATGTATCCAAATTTAATGTTGATCATCATCATGACTGGAGTTTATCAGAGGTAATCACTAGAAATATTGAAGTTTAGTCATACATATAGAATGATCTTTGTAAGATCACATAGCTCATACAACTTAAATTATTTCCATATTTATTTGTATATAATATTTATTGCAATATAATAATTAGTATTTAGTTTTGATATACCTTAGAGCATAAATCGCCAAATAACTGCTTATGAATGATGTTTTCATTTTATTGACTGATTCAAATTATTTTATATGGTTGTTAGGTTTGTGGTAGTATAAAAGACATGTTTGTAACTGGTAAATGGAGTCGTGATGAAGATGCTACAGCACTCCTTGAAGATGATAATGAAGAATTATATGGAGATTTTGAAGATTTAGAAACTGGAGAGAAAGTAGAGGGCCAAGATTTTGATTCTGATAAAGATAGTGTTATTGAAAAACCCAATAAGCCATTAACTGAAGATGAATTGATTGAAAAAAAGAAAAAATTAAAAGAGCAGTTTGATGAAAACTATGACGATAAAGAAGGAGGTCCAAGTACATATTATGATGAATTAAAGGAAGAAGCTTCTAAACAAGCACAACTTAACAAAAGCCAGTTTGAAGGAATGGACGATGAAATTCGTGTACAACTAGAAGGTTATAGATCTGGAATGTATGTTCGAGTAGAATTAGATGCAATGCCGTGTGAATTAGTTAGCAATTTCGATCCATCTTACCCATTAATTATAGGAGGATTACAAAGTGGAGAAGAAAATATTGGATTTTTGAAAGTAATTATATATAACATTAAACTTAACAATATTTTTCAATTATTTATTTATAGATTATTTTGATATATAGGTACGAATTAAGAAACATAGATGGTATAATAAAATACTCAAAAACCGAGATCCTGTTATCATATCAATGGGTTGGAGAAGATTTCAGACATTACCAATATTTTCTAAACAAGAAGATAACATGAGACATAGGTAGTTAAACAGTTATTGTATTAACAGTTAAACTTATTATTGGTTTTCAGATTTAAAGACAATTAAATCAATAAAAAAAGCGTTCATAATGTTAATGAAGCAAGTTAAAAAATCAATTACAAAATTTACCAAAAAATTTAATAGATTTCAGTTGATTTAACTAATTTGTATAGAAAAAAATAAAATAAAAAATGGTTAGCTTGCCAGAAAAATACTTATCGATTTTTTTAATAATACATTTTATTCAAACTAAATTTAAACATAACAATGACAATGTGTGGTCTTCACAAGCTACAAGCTCTTATCGATATGTTTCGTTTATATGTACATATAAAAAATTATCAGGTCAATATAAATAATTAAACAAAAAAAGGAAAAAGTAAAAAAAAATTTTCACTAGTTTTTTTTAGAAATCAAAAGGAACATATTTTAATTTAAAAATTATTATTTTATTGCTTTTCAAAAATAAAAAAATCAACTGCCTTCAAATCTGGACCATAATTATGTATTTGTATCCATAATTTTTTCACATTTATAACAACCATTAAACATTTTAGAATGCTTAAATACACACCTGAACATGTCATGTGCATGGCCCACTTTTGGGGTCCAATGACCAAACCTGGTACAGGGTTTTTAACTGTTCAAAATGTTTCTACCCAACAGGTTAGTAAATAAATGTAGTAAGATGTTTAACTTTTTTTTTATTATATAATGTTTGTTTAAAGGTTGGTTTCAGGATAACAGCTACCGGGACAGTTGTTGATACAGACCAATCAACCCAAATTACTAAAAAGTTGAAATTGACTGGCACTCCTTTAAAAATTTACAAACGAACAGCATTTATTAAAGACATGTTTAATTCTACTTTGGAGGTTACCAAATTTGAAGGAGCTCGTATTAAGACTGTTTCTGGTGTTAGGGGTCAGATTAAAAAAGCTTGCCCAAAACCAGAAGGTTCATTCAGAGCAACTTTTGAAGACAAAATTAAAATTAGTGGTATTTAATGATTGGTGTTTAATATATTTATTAAATTTTAATACTGTTTACTTTTTTTCTTGCATTGTTAGATATTGTATTTTGCCGTACATGGTACAACGTTGAAGTTCCAAAACTTTATAATCCAGTTACGTCGTTGCTGTTACCTTTGAACGAAAAAAATTCTTGGCGTGGTATGAAGACTACAGGACAACTAAAAAGAGAACAAGGCATTAAAGGACTTCCAGAAAATGATTCTTTGTATACTGTAAGTATTTTTTTTATTTTCTTTATACACACAATTTTTATGGTTTTTAATTTATTGTAAAACTGTTACTTATCTTATAGCCAATACATAGAAGTATGAAACATTTCAAGCCTCTCAAATTGTCCAAGAGCTTGCAAGCTCAGTTACCATACGTAGACAAACCCAAGACGTTGGCTACAGCTAAATTAGACTTGAAAAAACAACGTGTGGCTGTGGTTAGAGATGGTCATGAAGAGCAAGTTGCTTCTTTAATGAAGATGATTCGCACCACTTATAAGGAGAAGAAACGAAAAGATAGAAAAGACATGAGAGTGAGAGTTAGACAACATAAGAAGGATATTCAAACAGAAGTAAGAGCTAAATATAAGAGAGATCAACAAAAGAAAAAAGCTGTTATGAGAAAACGTTCTAAAATGTCGTCTACTAAATAATTTATATTTAGTCCATTGTTTACAATTTTTAAGTCGATATTTTAAATCTTTTAATTTTATTTAAATAAAACGAAAAACTTTAAATCATTTATAAATCTTTTTTTCTTGTCGTGTCATTAATTTTATAAATCAGCTGCATTTATAGCCAGAAAACTGGTTATTTTTCAGTTACGGTTGTTATATGGTGGGCTAGGGCTGGTGATATTTCAAATTTTAAAACCGGTACCCGGTATTTGTTTACTACCTGGTATCCAGGGTATTTCCGTTTATACTAATAATTCCTAACCCGTAATTCAAATCAAATGGGAATTCTAAAAATAGTTGTTTTTGTCTCGAGCATCTATAATCTATATAGGTAGATCACAGATAACAAAAATTATAATATAATAGGTATATTATTATTACAATCATATTTTAGTTATGATAACATTGATAACATACTAATATTAAATAAGAAATGTTGGAATGCGGCATTTTAGGTAACTACTATAGTATTATGGCAAGGTGTATTTTTTAAATAGCCCTAGGGTTGGGCTCTGCACTTACACTGTATTGCCTACCTCTTTACCAACTGCTATCTTTTTTACAGAAACTCAACTATACCATTTTTATGGGTAGAAAAATTCCTTTGGTGAATGACATTTATTTTCTATGTCTGTTCATTGAAACGACCCAAAGTCTCTGTCAATGTGTATTGCAAGTGGATACTGGGCAGTAGGGAGATAATGTGATCTATTTATCTATGTATATATCACTAAACACATGATATACGACCCCCCTTCTCGCAGAGGTGACATGTATGGTCTTTACTACCAGTGGAGTGTGACTTAGTTTGAAACTTTGTGAATAACATGTGAACATAAATGACACTTACTTAAATTTACAATATTCCAGTTCGGGAGTTAGCATGACAACCCTTTTCCAAAATCAAAATTACATTATTGACGCATCAAACACGACTCTTCCTTATCAATATTGACACTTTGGAAAAATATTTTTGAAAAAATTTAACTTAAAATTCCTGTACAATATCTAGGCTAAATATGAAGTTTGATTGACAATCTTTCAACCTTAGAATACAAAAACATGTAAATTACATATTGTATCCAAATGACAAACATGTCTACAGTACCTTATATGTCTCGCCAGTTCTTTGATAGAAGAAAATTTAAATAACTTATCGAAACTTCTCATATGTCAATATCTAGCTAGGTCACCATTATAATTTAGTAAAAGATTACTAGATGTCTATGTTTTGCGTCTCTGATTTATACACTAGTTACGTGCTTATCGTTGAGTGACGTATTTTCAAATTTTTTTTGGGGGGAGGGATCCTCAGGTTATAAGTCGTAACTTGGAGACCGTCGTCAGAATCACATTATTATAAATGTATATTTTCTATACCAGTCACATAAAACCATTGCGACCACACGTGCCTACATCAATCTGGTTCTGCAAATATGTAAGAATTTTAATTTTTTTTTTTTTAGAGAGAGAGGTTCGGGGGGGGGGGGGTCCAGGAGTCCTGCCCCCCCCTCCCCCGTAAATACGTCAGTTATCGTTATTTATAGTTAGCTGGATATGTGTATGTAATTAATTTAGGAATGTTTTAGGAGTAATTGAGCTCATAAAGGGATCAATTTTAATTTAAGTTAATTAAAAAATAAGGGGTTCAGCAGTTCAGGATTATAATGATTTACTAAGTTGAATAAATAATTATTGTTTATTTTATCGGAATTTTAATAAAATAATTAATCTTAATGATGCTAGCTAATAATAATTCAATAAATATTCATGTTTGAAGATTATATTCACTTACTTTGTATAGTTGTCTAAATAACTCCAGTTTTTAGATCGAGCATCGAGATTTGTGAGTAATCATTAACTTGTTTGCAGACTTGCAGTTCGATTGCTAATGAATCAATCAATAAATTAATGTTTCTGTTGTTTAATAAAATTAATGGATAAATGAAAAAGTTTACCAGATGTGAAGACAGATGATTCAGACTCTTCTGAATACTTTTTTAGAAATATTTTGTTTGAATCGTTTTAATTAGTGGAATTTTTATAGTAGATGATCTATATTTTTATTTTAAATGTGATTGCTGATCTAAAAAATGTCGTACATTTTAATTCATAACAGTATTATATCTTTCATATTAGTATAGACAGTAATAGAGTCGAAAAATATGCTTTTAATCGTATATATTGGTTTGGTACTTATAATTATAATATGCATTCTAGATACTTGCATAAATTATATGCTGATAATTTTACAATGGATTATGGTCATATTATATATTATTCAAAATTCTAGAAAATTATGATTAATGGTGATAAATGTATTCAAATTGTGTAGTTGTTCACTATTATTGGTGATCACCTGCAGGTACACAATGAATGTTTTTGTAGTAATGATGCCGGTACTGATTTTAAGTAATTTAGTTGCCTAGTATCACATATATGATATGTACTATGTACCTACAGATATTATATATCTGTGCCTAGTACCTATTAACTTAAGCTTGTAATGCAATTTGATAAAAGCTTGTTTAACTGATACAGAATAATAATTTACTAATACTAAATATTTAAATTTAAAAAGAATAATTTTTAGAATAAATAAAATATTAATTTTTAATTTTTTTTTACACATCTTATAATTATTATTTTATTATCAAGCAAGTATAACAATATTTATTATCAAGTAGTATAAAATAATAATAAAATATTCATTAGGTACATTGAAGATTGAAAATTATCACAATTACATGATACAATTATATGGGCAATTAAATATGAAAATAAATTGATTAAACATGTATTATAGGTACTTATTTTTTATACASCTAGGAGTTTGGACACTAGATATTATAGGTAATAATAATATAATACTTCATAAGAAAAATTACATAATTAACCTATTTAAAATTTATAATATGTACCTACAGATTATAATTTACCAACTTTAATATTACATTGATTATTTCTACCTTTGACTTTAATTAAACTTTGCATATTAATTATAAACCATAATTAGATAATTTCTCATGCATATAACAGACACCTAATTGTTGTAATATTGTAACAATAATCAATAACCGTTAACTGAGTACGTGTTTAAAACTAATGTAAAAAAAATCTGAAAAAAATTGTCCATTTTTAGTGAGAGTTAAAAATTAAAATACTCAAAGTACTTATAAGTTATAACAGCTATTATACAACTCTGACAAATCATGAATTATATTGTTCTTGGTAATTTTCATAAAAAACCTCGGTGGTTATACTCGTCATTCCTATACTTACTTAGGTACCTATTTACGAAAATTATAATTTGTATGAAATCGTGTGTGAGACATATATCAATGATTGAAAGTTTTAAGTTATTGACTTATTGTTACCCTACGCCATCTAAGACAGTGGTTGTAAATTGGTGTGTTATTGGCATTTCCCGAACAATTTAGCCGATTAACTTCATATACCTATATTATTAACTATTGTTGCTTAACTTTGATATTAATCAAGTTATTCGTGACATGTGAACAAAATAATCTCAACATCTTATGAAACAAGAACCCTACGATCAGGAAAGACACGACTGCTACAAAAATCACATCCAGCAACATGTATTGATACCACGTGAGGTTCAGTGCTTCGGATTTCAAATGGTGGGCACCTTTGTGACGAAGCACATACTCCGTCCAATATAGACGACTGACTCTTGAGGCGTCATCGGACGGTCTCTGAAACGGTCTGCGGAKATTATAGCATTTTTGGTGTAACTGCAAAAAAGCAGTGCACTGGTAGGTAAAATAAATAAATGATTCCGTAAAATAATTGTAAAATATTTTCAAAAATATGTCACATAAGCATCCCGCATCCGACAAGGTATACAACTACTAAAATATAATATTCAACTGATAGGTAATATATTAATATAATATATTATTCAGATTCACTATAATCAATAATCATGCTCAACCCCATATTTTCCTTTAATATTTAATTTATTCGAATTATGATTTTTGATATTTAAAAATACTTACCAAAGACAACTTTTCAAATTCAAAAATCAGAATTTGAATACTTAGAGTGTCCTGTGGAGATACGCTGTTTTTCAAATGAGAACTCCCTGTTTAAATAACTAGACAGGTAGGCCCAGAGCTTTAGAACATCAATCATCACAATTATATTATAATCTGTAGATCATATTATCTACTTTGTGTTGTGTAAAACTTCTCTGATGGAGTTCAGAAATCGTTGTTCGGTGATTGACAGTAATTCCATTGTGATCGCCATGCCCGCGTTCACTAGACTTAGCAAGTTTCTCGGTTGATCGTAGTAAAGCGGAAAGCCCGAAACCGGAACACCTAGGTACGTCCACTGCTTCATACACGCCAGATATCCCGCCATGACTTTTGAACAATTTGACGTTTGGGTGCACTAATTATATAATAATATGATCATAATATATATAAAGATTAAAATAAATTAGCTAAGTCGTTAATCGATTTAAAACACCTATTATATTTACTTAGTGATTGTTAAATGTTTTTAATGAAATTTGTGGCCCAAACTTAAAGTACCTATAAGTACTAAGTATAATAAGAAGATATAGGTATCTACTAATGACATATACCTACCTATTAATAACAAATTTGCATTTTTACTATTTTATAGTAACTCTGAACTTAACGTTAAATATATACAGTTTTCATTAGTGCGACTAGTTATTAGCGTTGTATTGAATGTGTTAAAATATTTTGGTACACAATTAAATAATGATTAATAGTAATTAATAATAATGAAAAAAAAAAACACTCACACAGAACGTCTGCACGCTGAGGAAACCAGTTGACTGTCATCATCGCGTTGTCCAGTTTGTCTTCCATTTCACCTTCATATTTCCACAAAACTCTTTGATGAATTCGTCGGAATACATTTTTAAATATATCCAGTATATGGTCTGGTAAACTTGACATGGCTATGACTATATTGACTAGTATGACTGACCCAAACGTAAAATAAATAACTCCATGTGGGGAATTTTCAATATATTCTCTAA